CCATGCTGTCTAAGCCCTCCCTCCAGGGACCTTACCAACAGGAGGGACAAGGAACCGTGCGGCCCAACCAGGGTGACCCCGAGCCCTGTCCGACCCTCAGGAACTCTGGCCTGAAAGAGCAAAACCTCCGAGGAGCATGTGAGGTGTCACAGGGCAACGAGAAAGCCAGGTGCTGGCGGCCTCTGTGAGGGGATGCGTGGTACCCCGCTGCTCCCACCAGGCCTCTCTCTGCCCTCAAAGCTAGCGGCACCGCTGGCTTCCTGCAAACCAGAAGCAAAGAAACCCGCTTTTCACTGCTCGTTTTCATTCTCAGGCTACTGCCAATACCCTCTGCCATTTCTTAACCTCAGTGCTCCGGAAACCTGATGTACCAGGACTGGCTCACAGCTGGGTCTCCCCAGTGAAGGTGAGAAAGGGTGAACTTACACTCTCGATTTCCTTACATGCCCTAAAGCTAACACAGGCACACTCAAGGCCCGAGAGAGGATGTGGCATTTACCTGATACCTCTAGGTGAGATGTGCCTGTTAAAGGGACCTTGAGTTGGTTCACCTCCGAGACGGGTGCAGTCCTTCGGTGCCACTTTATTCTCTCTTTATCCCTAAGTAGTGCTTGGCTCCTATCCTGGATCCTAATGAACTTCACTGTTCTGGAAGAGGGAAGTGCTGCCAGGCTCAAAGAGTAGAGACTACAGCAAGAGTCCTGGCTCCCCATCCTCGTGCTTCCACAGGGAGGGTCTGCTCTCCACCCTCCCTCTCCTCGTCTGTATTCCAAATGGACGAGACTGACCAATCAGTGAAATCTGACCTCAGCTCCTGTGGACTCGCCCCGTCCCCTCCTCTCTTGAGGGGCGCAGATGCTCTTCTATCACTGGCAGCCCTGCTGGGGCGGGCCTCTGCTCCGAGGACGACCGCCAGCAGGTCTCTGTGGGTCAGGTCAACCTTGGAGGGAGGGTGTGTGAGTACAGGAGTCTGAGGGGGCCTCATTCTGGCTACAGGTCAAGCTGGGTCATCTAATCCACCTTCACAGTTGATTAAAGCTCATCTTTTTTTGTTTGTTTGTTTTACGGATTTTATTTATTTATTTATTTATTTATTTATTTTAGGGAGAGAATCCCAAGCAGACTCTGTGCTGAGCGTGGAGCCTTACTGAAGGCTTGATTGATCTCACTACCCTGAGATCGCCACAACCTGAGCCGAAGTCAAGAGTCAGACGCTTAACCGACTGAGCCACCCAGGCACCCCTAAAGCTCATCTTTTGATCCTCCATTATACTTCTGTGTCTACTTCTTAAATGGTTCAGATCTAGGCATGGGAGAGAGACAGAATTTACTGGAGTCCTCAGACTCTAACAAGACCAAAGGAAACAGCATATGACACCTGAGGTCATTTGTTTTACGAAGACCTAGATTTAAAAAGACATCTCTAGCGATTCCTAAGCCTAATTCTATCCCCAAAGCATAGAAAACCCAAGCCACATGATCAAAAGAAAATGATGAGTGTTTAATAATAATAATAATAATAATAATAAACACCAGAAAAGGTAACAGTGCTCTCTGACTTTCAGCTGACTTCTCAGAGAAAGGAGCTATGTTCTCCAGCCATGGAAGCTGGTTTCTCTGCAGACCTGCCTCAGGGACTCAGGCCTACTTAGCTGAGCCCAGCCTCCCCTAATCAGGCTGGCTTCACTTTCAAGGCTCTGAGAGGGTCTGCCTTCAATCAGTCAAGAAACAGCTCCTCAGCACTGGCACTGCTTCCCCATGCCGGCCTGCCTGGAGATAACCATGGACTGCACCAGATCTTTCCAAGCTGTTTGAGGCCAGAATGAACACATTTTCTATCATCTGAACTCAGACCTCTGGAGCCATGCTGAAATCCTACTAGGGTAGGGCATAAGACCCTGTTCATAATGAGATTCTTTTTTCTGTGGTCCTGATATTTATGTCAGGCAGAACACATCTCAATCCACACACAGATCAATGTTCTGTGCCAAGGCCATCTTCCAAAAGAAATACAACCATCCTCTATCAGAGCAGGAATTGTGGTTCTTCAATAACCATAAAGGACTACAGATGACTGAAAGCTTTCACTTTTTACAAAAAATTTTCATATTTTACAAAAAATATTAGATTACATACATATGTGTGAATGACTATGTGTAAGTTAACATGATGTAACTAGCAAGGACAGTACCAGAGAACAGTCTGGTTAAGTTTTCTACTATTAGGGTTAGGAATGCATCTGACTGATGTTCACAGCTGAACTTAGCTGTAGTCCTGGGAACCACATGATGGTCTTGGGGTCCCAGTGTCCAGACTCTCTCCCCACATTGTATTTATAGCACACAGCACGAGGTCATGTGGCAGGGGGAGCATGCGTACTGAGTGTGCACTGTTCTGTGGGCAGCCTCCAGCCCTCATGCTTCTCCCCACACCAAGCAAGTACACAACTCTGATCCATCTCTGTGGGTGACTCAGAACTACACTTTCCTTTCTCTGTCACGTCGTCTTCACAGCCCACCAATCCCACTCCCCATGAACACTGCACTGATCTGATTTCCTTGCCCTAACATTATTCTTCCCAATTCTTTCATTTCTACCCAGTCTGGCACATATTTCAAAAAATAAAGGACAGTTCCCTCTAAGCTACCAAACTTTTACATAAAAATAACAACAACAACAACAACAACAAAGCAGAGTAGTAGATCTAGATCTAGATCTAGGAGACCCAGTGGCCAGTCTGGGGGTCCACGAGTTGAGGGATTTTCACTCTAACTTGGACCCGGGACTACCACTGACGCCCTCACTCATTTACCTTCTGCCACATCCTTGCTTCAAGTTCCCATCCTGGATGGCCCGGAGTGCTGGTGGTCTTTGTTTCCCCACTGAGGTGGAGCATTACAGCAAGTTCAGAAACTGACTCAGCGGACTAAAAGCCTCACGTGGTCCAATTTCCATCTGACTTTGCTGCTATTCCTTTTATTCATCTCTTGCCAGCTCCCCAGCGGTGGACATTTAAAACAGCTTTTCCAAAGCTTCTCCCTTCTCCCCAGACCCCAATTCCGGATAGCCCCGTCCACCCTCTCTGGCTGCTCTGCATACAAATCAATCCCCTCAGATGACTTCACCTTCCCCCCCAGGCCCCACCACTCTCATTCTTACTAGTTCCATCTCTTGGCATGGGCACCTATTCACAATTGGTCATGTCCAGGATTTCACCTAGGTGAAGCATGGTGATCCCCAAATCCTTGTCTTGACCTTGACCTGCCTCCAAATGCTGGCCACATGCTTCCAATTTCCCTCCTAGAAATTCCTCCAGGCGTGCCTTGCCGTCATGGGCTCAAATTGGCCAGCCAATTTCAGCTTCTCACATCATCATTCTCCTGGGTACCAAGGCTCACAGTCAGGTGAGCACTGCAAAGGAGCACAGAACTTCACAGTTGGCAAGGACTTAAGGGCTCATTTGTATCAGGGTCAGCAAACTTCTGCTATAATAGTAGATATTTTAGATGTTGTGGGCTATGGTCTCTGTTGTGATACTCAACCCTGCCCCTCTAACATGACAGCACCAGAGATACTATGTATTATGGATGGGTGTGGCTGTAGTCCAGTAAAAGCACTTCAAGCCAGCTAGCCAACAGGCGCTAGCTTCCCACCACATGGTCTATATCACTATCCTAGTTAGGTTTTTGCCAGTTCCCTAATCAAATATTAGTTTTTGCTTATTTTTATGCCAGCGTCAAGCACATTATTCATTATATCTAGCAACTCACCTTTGACCCAAATATCCCTTCACCATAGAGAGGCCTGATGGGGAACTAGTCATGCCCACTGATTATCTCTGAAGCTGGACGTTGAACACAGGGCCACACAGTTTGCTTCACAAATGATTTCTCCCCCTGAATTTTAGCCAATGATCACCAATTTAATAATTTAAAGTGCCATTTCTTCAACTAGTGGGCTGCTTTCTTCAAAAGAAATCTTGCTTGGAAACTCATTAAATGAAAAAGGCAAAGCAGAACGAGTGTGGGAAGTGGTGTAAGCTCCTCGGCTGACTTGCTGTCCCTCGCAGGGGGCCCTCCTTCAGGTTTGTGACACAGAAGCCTCTACACTGCTTTTATCAATCACTGTATCATGAAAAAGGTTTTGAGCTACCCACCACCCTCCCCACTACATACTTGCAATCCTAGTATTGGCAAATATCCCATGATACAATATATACTTAGGGCGAAGTTTATCATTCATGAAAATGGATGTACATCTAGAAATGGTATTCTTGACAAGTCATAATCTTTTTGGCCGACGTACTGTCCAATGTGGCCAGAATGCCATTGTTTTTACTTTGAAGCAGGGTTGATGAAGGACTCTGACCCAGAGAACTGTTAGCTCTGTCATTTTCTTGCTTGTTTATGCTTATTTTAAAACTGTATTAACTCCAATCTTTATAGTAATCTTTTAAAGCCACCCATTATTTAATTTGGTTAAAACTAAAAAATATGTCCACAAATTCATTCGACTGGGCACATATACACTCTAACATGTAGCATTAAGTCAAGAGCAAATGAACTAGGGAGGGCGCCTGTCACCCTGGCCACCAATGGAATTTTGTGTTATCTCCTTTACTATACATGACATATGACCATCTAAGAAACCAACCAGTGAAAATGCCTAAATCACTCTGTATTGTCAAAAATTAGAGAGCTAGTTAAGCTTAATATTTTTCTTTATGTTGGATAATAAAAATAAACAGTAGTTCTAGTCTCTGTCTGGAGGCCACCACTGTGAAAAACCATCTGGTTTAAAGCAAAAAGAAAGAACCACTCCCTGATTAGTGGGAAAACATGACTTTTCATTCAGTTGACCCCTGCCCGAGGCCCTAAGCCTGCCGTCCAGCTGACAGCACAGCACGAGCAAGGCAGACACCCTACAGCAAGCCGGGCCCCATCGTGATGTTCTCAGATGCAGGGGCAGCTAAGGCAAACAGCAATCATCCTAGTGGTTACCTGCAAGTCATTTTGTGGGTTCCAGTCTGAATCAAATATGATGCAGGTATCGGCGGCTGTGAGATTGATGCCCAGGCCTCCCGCTCTGGTGCACAGAAGAAAGACAAAGCGGTCTGAGTCTGGCTTACAGAACCGGTCGATGGCTGCCTGGCGCAGGTTTCCCCGTACTCGCCCATCAATTCGCTCATAGGTGTATCTGAGGGGACCCAAACGAACGAAAGCCCAGGTGTTAATCATACTTCAATGGAGAGCAGCAAACAATGCAGGAAGCTGTTGACCCGCAGCCTTATATCCCTCACTTCTAAGTTTGGACCAACTGAGAGCAGTCTGTGAGGAATCCCTCCCGTCCATATAGGCAGCAGGGCAGACACCTAAGACTGCACTGCAAAACGTACCCCCCCAAAACAAGCAAACAAAAACCAAACCAAAACAAAAATATCAGCCACAAACTAAGGACCAGAAGAATTGTAAACATAAAATATCAATCCCCACAGCCTGAGCAACTTATTCTCCAGTATTTCCCGGTTTTCACTTGCACCAAATCTAATCATAAGACCAGGAAAAGCAAATAAGAGCCTCAAACATCTACTTTAAGTAGTGGTCTTCACAAGGAATCAAAGTTCAAATCCGTGTGTAGCTGCTCTGGGGTACCCTGAAAATGGTAAGCAGACTGTACTGACAGGCAGGCCTTGTGCACCTGGGCTGGTCATTTCCGGCCCATCAGTTCTCCCGGGCTGCACACTGCCATGCACAGAAACCACAGGAAGGTTTCTGAGCTGTGTTGGGGGCAGGGGGACAACAACTGAGGACTTTTTAGAGGGAAATAAAATGGGGAAGTGAAGCTGACTATCATTAAGAAGGCACATACCTGTGTGGAAACAAGGGTGAAAAGCACGGTAGGGGATAGGATAAAAGGAAGGAGAGCATATTACTAGCTGTCCATTCAATTAAAGTACACAGAGGGTATCTTCATGATGGAATCACGTGATTAACACACAATTAAAACAGAGTAGCAATGTGGACAGCTGCTGACATCTTACTCTCTTCTTACTTACCCTACCAATGAATAAATTCACAAGGGGATATTACCCTGGGCCCAATTCTGACCGCCAAGCAGGAACTGGTTGGTAAAGTAGAACTAAAAGGAACCTTGTGACAAAAGGACCAAGTCGCCCTGGACCCAACAGCAGCCAGGAACATGGATCCTGACACAAACCTTATCAGTAGCCCACAGTTTGGGAAATCAGATCTTTAAAACCTCAGATAAATAACTGGTAAGAGAATAAGGATAGACACTCTAGGGGTAGATGACTCTGTTTGGCTCTAGAAAATGGAGTGTGGCAATAGGATTTCCTCCAGGATTCTGACTTCTTTGAGGAAAAGGAAAATCCATGTAAAGAAACCATCCAAGGAAATAACATGTAGAGAAACCAGACCAACTCAGGCTCAAAAGGGACACGTACAAAGCCAAAAAAACCAAGTCTGAAAACACTGTCTTCCTTTGACAAAGCCACAGTGCATCATCACTTGGAATTACAGGTGTAGATTTTCCCTTTTTCTTCTTTTTTAATGTAATAAACTTAAGCCTAATATGTGGGACTACAGTAGTAAATAAAACAGGAGGTGGTGACTTAGAAAGGCAGACTAGGAAGAGACTGTGTCATAAGATAAAAGCAAAGGGGCGCCTGGGTGGCTCAGTTGGTTAAGCGACTGCCTTCGGCTCAGGTCATGATCCTGGAGTCCCTGGATCGAGTCCCGCATCGGGCTCCCTCCTCGGCAGGGAGCCTGCTTCTGCCTCTGACCCTCCCCCCTCTCATGTGCTCTCTGTCTCTCATTCTCTCTGTCTCAAATAAATAAATAAAATCTTTAAAAATAAATAAATAAATAAAAGCAAAGGGCTGTATGTCTGGATTCTATAAAACCAAAAGGCAGTTAGATATAATGGTCATTATCATTAATAATAGCCACAGCAGTAATATAAGCAGTAAGCTCTGACGAGTCAAGCTCTGTGCCAGGCACTGTGATACATCCTTGATATGCACCATCCCATTTACGTCTCATGATAATCCTAAGGACTGGTTTTATTGTCATCCCCATTATACATTCGAGGAAACTTCAAAAACAAAAACAAAACCCCCACAAGCAAACTAATTTGCTCAGTCACTGAGCAGGTGAGTGAGTTGACCCATTTGACTCCAAGTCCACATTCTTAACCAGTTTGCTGTATAGCCTTTGTATTGTACCCTACACTTCAATGCAGGAGGGTGGAAAGACTGCCCTGAACACCTAACAGAGAAAATTAAAGATAAATAAGAGACACCAGTAAATTTAGGAAGCTGATAACTCTAGTGGAAACTGGAAGAAACTATAGGCACCAACATGGTTTTGATAAACCAGCGCACTGAGGTCTGTACTGGGTACTCAGAAGTTTGGGCGTGTGGGTGATGGGATGTAAGAAGCACAGGATTTGGAGTCAGGGGACAAGGTTGAGATTCAATTAAACAGGAGTTGTCACCACCCCCACTGTCACACATGTGAACAATTAATGCTGAAGGCACAGAGGACACCCCAGCCATCAGAAGAGAGCGAGATGCCCATGGATCGAGGGAGGCAGGGAATTAGCACAACTCTAAGGAGGAGGAGAAATCAATAAATAGCGAAGCTAGAGCTCAACTGTCCCCCAGGGAGAAAATTCCCATACAATTATAGTGTTTTGCCAGCTATGATCTAAAAACAGTTTGAGAAATTGTGCAGGATGATTGGAACATTAATTCTCATTTCTATTACTTGTTCAGTTTTGAGGGAGTGCTCTCAAAGAACACAAAACTAAAAATCCATCCCATTATGTGAGTTCTTTTAAGCTGTTCCTCACCCCCTCCTTTCTGAGCCAAATCCTTTGGCTATGCCCTCACCCCTGTATGAGAATATGGCATGAAATTAAGCGGGAACAAAACCAAACCGACAGCTGGAGAGACAACGAGGCTCAGAGAACAAAGAAAATCTTGAGGCCTAGTAAGTCTGAATGAAGAAATCAGACATCAAAAAATTTTCCACACCACACATCAGTGCAGTAATTAACCCTCTGCATCAACTATATTTTGAACAAAGTCCCTGGGAGTTTATGTGGCTCATCAAACTGTAATTCTCAGTCACTGTCAAATTTCAACAAGAAGCAGGTGGCAGCCTGGAAAACCTGAGTGCTTTGTTTTGGGGAGGGGGGCGGTGACGCGTTTTGGGCACAACAGGAAATGCTGACCTCAGAAGGCCTGAAGGGAAATGAAAAGCTTTCTCATCTCTCAGCAATAACTAGCTGGAAAACATAAAGAATGAAACAAATAAGGGCACCTGGGTGGCTCAGTTATTAAGCATCTGCCTTCGGCTCAGGTCATGATCCTAGGGTCCTGGGATCGAGCCCCGAATCGGGCTCCCTGCTCCGCAGGAAGCCTGCTTCTCCCTCTCCCACTCCCCCTGCTTCTGTTCTTTCTCTTGCTTTGTCTCTCTCTGTCAAATAAATAAATAAAATCTTAAAAAAAAAAAAAAAGAATTAAAAAAATCCCATTCACAATAGCCATACACATACAGAATACTTAGGATTATGCTCAGAGTAAGAAATATGCAGGACTCGGCGACATGACTCTAGGTGCCATGTTGGTTGGTTCACCATGTCCCTTAACACCTACAAGGTTCTAGCACAAGGCAGGTACTTCATAAATATTTACTGAATCAACAGTGTATATGAAAGACCTGAATAACTGCAGTGAATATCAGGTTCTTCAGTTTTACAAAGATATCAATCCTGTCCTACTAAATGTGAAAAAGCCAATCAAAATCCCAACAAATGGATATGTATGTATAAATACAAATACACATATTTGTGTATATACACATACACTTATATATTATTTTTTTCTGTAGTCAGGGACTGTAGTCAGGGATAGATTAAAAAAGAGTAATTCTGAAGTTTATCTGCAATAATACATGAACAAAGGAATAAATACTGATCAAAAGAATATAAAGGTTAAACACACACCAGCATAGATAATAGGTATATTTTATGGGCAGTGTTTTATATGAATGGAGGAAAAGATGTACTATTTAATAAATAAAAAATCAGACACATTTGGAAATAAATTAGATCCCCATTGTATACCATTTGCCAAAATTACAGGAAGACTAAAGATTCAAATGTAAAATTAAAAAAAAAATCAAAGAAATCCAGTTAAAGACTCTCAGGTGAGAAAAAACTTAATTCAAGGGGTGCTTGGGTGGCTCAGTTGGTTAAGCATCCGACTCTTGATCTCAGGGTCATGAGTTCAAGCCCTGTGCTGTGCTCCACGCTGGGCGTGAAGCCTACTTTAAAAAAAGAAAAGAGGGGCGCCTGGGTGGCTCAGTTGTTAAGCGTCTGCCTTCGGCTCGGGTCATGGTCCCAGGGTCCTGGGATCGAGCCCTGCATCGGGCTCCCTGCTCAGCGGGGAGTCTGCTTCTCCCTCTCCCTCTGCCTGCCATGTGCTCTCTGTCAAATAAATAAAATTAAAAAAAAAAAAAAAAAGAAGCAAGGAAGGAAGAAAGAAAGAAAGAACTCAATACTGCAGGATATCCAAAGGGATCAGGCTTTGGTGGCACCAGGTAACCCTGAAAATGGGGATGCAGAGTCTAAAGCAGAGGAACTGGCTGAATATCTGTGAAAGTATCAGCCTACAGATCACCGACCCCGGCCTCGAAGAGGGTAAAACAGAAGACCTGCGCTGCGCTCTACCCCAGGGATACCAACCACAGTTACTTCTCTCTAGCCCTTCCCCCCAGTCGGCTCCCAGTACAATCAAATTCCCACCCTCTAGGCAGAAGAGAGGAAGAGAGACACCCTGAAATACAGACACTGGACGTTCCCCAATGAGACGGTGTAGCTAAACAGACAGTGTTCACACACAGGATGAGTCACCGAGGCTCTGCTTCCAGTACAGACCGGAAGACCAACCCTCCAGCAAGTAACCACCAGAAAATGGACAAAATACAAAACACAAAATAAAAAACCCACGAATGAAGAGAAAAACCGATCTAGGGCACTGGAGAGTTGAGGCAAGAAGGCAGATTTTGGAGAGGAACAGAAACTTGCAGTTTTGGCCCGAGGGGAAGCCACCGTTACGGCGGCAGAGGTACAGGCAGCCAGGACGCGGATAAAAAGCCCCTGTCTTTCAGACCGGAGGCACCAGAGGCACCAGAGGCACCAGAGGCAGGAGTGTGGGGCAACCAGGACTGCCAGAGGGTGAGGGGGGATCTTAGAAAGCAGAGACACGAGGCTCTGGCGCAAGACTCTGCGGAAGCCTGGCGGACCTCTCCACTCACACACGCCGCTGACCGGACACGGACAGGAAGTGCATTCGGACTCTCGGCCAGTTACCTGCCTCCAAATAAAACTCGCCATCTTCACAGCAACCGAACAGAAGCCTGAATCTCCACAACAAAATATTGACAGTGTTCAGGGGAAACCCCTAAATTATGCAACAAAATTGTGTGAAGAAACAGGAGAAATGTGACCCATTATTAAGGGAAAAGGCAATCAACAGGTGTCACATCTAAAATGTTATAATTAAAGCAGCTATTATAATTATGCTCAGAGAAGGAATGTATGTAATAAAGAAAAGACAGGCAATCACAGCAAAGGAACACAAAAGTAAGAATCACGTGGAAAGCTTAGAACTCGAACACAATCTCTAAAATATGGAAAGCACTGAATGGGCATAGTTATAAGCTCGGCGGAAATGACTGAGAAAAGAGTCAGAGTGCCAGAAGACAGATAAAACAAAAGACGAAAGAAAAAAACACGCTGAGACAAATAAAAGAATAGAGCCCATGGAAAGTGGAACAATACGCGAAGGTCAAACATACAGGTGACTGGAGTCTCACAAAGAAATAGAAGAATGGGGCAAAAGGAAAAAAGAAACTGAAGGAATATTGACCCAGCACTTCAAAGCTGGATGAAAGATAAACATGTACAAATTTAAGAAGCTCAATGAAATCTGCACAGGATGAATGCCACACATCACAGTCAAACTGCTGAAAATAAAAAATTAAAATCTTAGTAAAACAATACATTACATACAGGGGAAAGAGGGACATAAATGACTGCAGATCTTGTCAGAAACCATGGGGCCAGAACACAGTGGGGTAACATTTAAAGTGTTGAAAGGAGAAAAAAGGCCAACCTAGACTTCTAACATGAAAGGGATATAAACGAACAAAAAGAAAAAAATCTGACTTGGAGAAAACAAAAACCACCTCTATAATGATTCATCTTAGAAAGGCAGACAATGCACCTATGAAACAACCAGTTGAGTGCTACAAAAATTGAAAAATTAGAGAAGAAAATGTTCTAGGAAATTGAAAATATAATTACATAATGAAAACCTAGGGGCTAAAGTGGGAGGACAGAGTACGAGAAAGAATTCCACCATAGGTGTAGCAAAACATAGTAAGATGGAAAGGAAAGAAAATCAGGTGACCGGTCCAGAAGGTCTGACATATAAATAACACGAGTTCCACAAAGAGAAAACAAAACAAGAAGTTTTAAAACAGAACATAAAATACAAATTCCCCAGAACTGAAGGAACACAGATTTCAGATGAGAAAGTATGCTCAGTATCCGGTTCAATGGACCCCATACAAAGGACAGTGCGGTGTGTAATTCCACAGCACTGGGACAAAGAGGATAAATCAAAGCTTCTGAACAGAAAAACATGTCACATACACAGACCAGGAAGCACAAGGCCTTTGAGCTTCTAAGCAGCAACCATGGAAACTAGAAGACAGGGGACCAAACCCTCAAAATTCTGTGGGGAAATTATTTCTAACCTAGAATCCCAAACTCAGCCAAACGGTTACTCAAGAATGAGAGCAGACTGAAAACATTCCAGGGAGGGTCCACATTCACTTATCATCCACCCTTCCTCAGAAGCCCCCTGAAGCTGTCCATGGGATCCACCAAGGAGATTTCATTCAAGAAGAAAGGGAAGACACTTGTGTGATGAAGGCAGGGAGAGCACAGGTGGTGGCGTGTACCAGGAGGGAAGAGCACCTGGCCGGAGAGGGGCCGCCCATGCGGCCCCGAGCAGATGCAGCGAACGCGCCTGACTGTAACAAGAGGAGATTTAGCCAACCAGGGTACGTTTTGGAGCTGAAATTATACTAAGGAAATAGAAAAATAGGCAATCAAATAAAAAGATAATTTTTAGTTTCAGGGAAACTAAAAACTGTGGGAGGAAAAAACTGTCAACAGCATACTAGATGGCTGGGCTGTCACTTAGCATTTGCGTAAGTCATGTGGTGGTGATGAGGGGCAATGAGAGAAGACAAATGCTCATCGTCCATAGTGGGAACAGGTAATACCTAAAATTAAAAATCATCAAGAAATTACAACTACTAACATTTTTTAGGTATAGCTATAAATACTCAAAATAACAGCATAAGAACAGTTTAAAGTAATAGTTGTTGAGGCTAGGGAAATTGGGGCTGGGTGGGAAGGGTGCTATCAGGAAAGGCATTTTTTGAAAGTCTAACAAAATAGTTTGGCTCTTTAAAATGTGTGTGTGGGGGCGCGTGAGTGGCTCAGTTGTTAAGTGTCTGCCTTCGGCTCAGGTCATGATCCCAGGGTCCTGGGATCGAGCCCCTCATCAGGCTCCCTGCTCGGCAGGAAGCGTGCTTCCTCTCTCTCCCACTCCCCCTGCTTGTGTTCCCTCTCTCACTGTCTCTCTCTGTCAAATAAAATCTTAAAAAAAAAAAAAAAAATGTGCGTGTATAACTTTGCTGGAAATAAAAACTAAATTAAAAAGAGAAAAGTAACAATGATATTAAGGCCAGAAGAACCCTGTTGGATGCAGCTGGGTTTGGGTTTACAAAAAAAGTGTAAAGAAAATACTTAAGAATATTTATATGTGTGTGGTTGAAAGATAGGGGAAGCCTTTCTAAGCCTATTAGTTTAAGCATTTAACTTTAAATTTAAGCATATATAAGCATTTAAGTTTATTGAAAGCTGTTTTAAGAGTTTTAAGAATGCGAGTTTTGACTATTACAAAACTTGAAACTTCTAAAAATAAGATAAACAAACAAAACCCATACCCATAAACAAAAAGTCAAAAACAACACACTGGGAAAGTATTTATGCTATATTCTTAAGTAAACAAATCATTCTCATAATAAAAAGGCAAAGAGCAACAGAAAATGGAGGAAGAACATGAATAAGCAGTTCATGCACACAAAACTATAAACAGCTAAAATATATGGAAAATACTCTCATTATTACTCAGAAATACAACTTAAAACAAAAGACCATAATTTTGGCTCATTGGATTAGCTAAGATTAAGTGGCAAAAACATTACTGATCAGAGTATGGGCGGGGAAGCACTGCTGAAAGGCATAAAAGTAACATCTTTCTAGAGGGTGTTTTGGAAATAAGTATCAAGTGCTTTTAAAATTGTACATAAAAATTTATCCTAAGGAAATAACTGGAAACATTCACAATGATCCTAAAGAGATAACTACAGAGTTCCTTAAAATCCTGAAAAACTGAGAACAACCTATGAGGCAGAGTATCATCAAAATTATGGTTTAGAAAATAAGTTTAAAAAAAAATCATGATATATTAAATAAAAAGGTGAACTACAAAGTAGAATGTAGAAATATAAACAAATGGACAACAAAACTAAATGTTTGTATGCACAAAATGAAAAAGACAACCCCCTGAGTATGAGTGGGAGCCTGGAGCCAGTGGTGGGGTTATTTATGTCTATATTTTCAAGAGAAATTTAACATTTAAATAATTTGAAAACAAAATAAGCAATAGATGAGAAGGACAAATAGGATAAAAAGGAGCTAAATAGAGACATCTGTACTTAGTAAAAGTCTGTTAATTACACTGTTACTCATTTTGGGGGGTTCTTTAAAAAACAAAAACTGCGAACTAGTAGTTGTATATATTTTGAAGAGTCAGATAACGTATTTATAAGAAGCAAGTGTTCTGGCAATGGGTTCCTAATCTAGAGTGAATTTATAAGATATGAAACTGCTTTAACTAGTTTTGATTTACTCATTATACCTTCCTCAAAGAAAAAAATAATATAAGTCAAGAATTCTCTACCTAAAGACTTCGACTATAGGACTCCGAGAAATTTTTTTATTGTCAAATTTGATTTTGGAGAATTATTTATGTAACATTAAATGTCAGCATATCCCATAGTTGAATCTGTCACTTCTTTTAATACTCCTTCTATAAATTATGTTACAACAGCAAACAGAATTTTCAAGGATCAGAATATTTAAGACAACTGTGATTTGCTATGATTACTTTATGAAACCAAAGCTTTCCTTTAAAGTTTTCAATGCTTAAACGAATAGCTTCTATGACCTTGAAAATTTTTTTACCATTGCATAAAGTCTTAAAAATCCATTTATCATCTTTGGATCATTGATGTAGCCCAGTGACTGGAAACATAAGGTCCGCTGTATAAAGTAACAAATGTAGTGCCCACACAGAATACAAACAACCCATATAACATAACACCACAGACTTTTCACCTGTGTGAGTGATGGAACTTAGGCTCAAGGAATTATAGGAGTATGAACAAGAAAACAGACTGGAATGCCATAGCTCGTTATCATAAAACCTTAGAGGGTTTGCTGAGAAAGGACATAAAGTATCCCCAATTCTTTTTTTATGAGCTGTCAGCTTATATTCTTTTAGCAACTTGATATAGTGATGCTTTCCAGGATGTATTTCTCCATCATTATTAAGGGGGAAAAAAAAAAAAAAGGCAAATGCATTGTTTTCTTAACCTTCTCTAATGCTTTTGAATTCTGTTTCTTACAACTAAAGAGAATATAAACATGTAGCATTTCCTTTTTAAGCAAAGCAAGGGCTCTACATCATGGCCTGTGAAATTAACTTTAGGCAGTTAAAATTGGGCCTACTTGGTCACAGGATTTAACTCTGAATTTCAATCAACCTTTAGGAGAAGATTACTTTTCTCCATGTTTGAATGCTTTGTTGTTGTTAAAGCATAATTTTTAGATGAATGAAAAAGGTACCCAAAAAAGAACTGCCTGCAGCATCTGATGCACAGCTCTGAGACAAGTTCTCACCTTCTCTGGATGAGATAATCTTCCAGGATATCGAGACAGCGCACCATCTGGGAGAAGATGAGTACTTTGTGACCACCTGCAATCAGCTTAGGGAGCAGTTTATCAATCAGCACCAGCTTCCCTGCTGCTTGAATCATGGCCTGCAGCTGAAAGTCGGGGGCATCAGGGCTGTGGGTTTTCCGGAAATCTTCCAGAATTTTCTCCTCTGCCCCTGGAAAGGAATGGAACAAAACTATTCCTTGAACAAACTCTGAGGGTAAAAGCTGCTCCCTGCTTTACAGCTCCTAAAAAAAATGAAGTGAGCTCCCAGATCCGGACCAGCAGTCCAGTGAGGCGACACTGTGTGTGCACAGCCGGTCTGTGCCCTCAGCAGAGGACTCTGCAGCAGCAGCACGGCCACTGTGCAGAGAACGGAGGGCTCTGCTTTGCTGGGAGACCTCACCAAGTAGAGAAAGGGCTTTAGATACCAAGCTGACGCATCAAGTAAAGAAACCTCCAGAGAAATGTGACAAAAAGACACACCTCTTGACATCATAAAAACTAGCTATTAGCAAATTCAAGCCACATTTTGATTTAAAATTTTATCAGAAAATTTTATTGTAAAAAAGCTTCTGATGTGTTCTCCGGTTAGTACAGTTAACTGTTAATTTACCTGCGGATTGCATCACGATCATTTATTCAGCTAAGTAATACAATTCCCTGTCCCGAAGGGCACAGTATGGGCCAGCCTACAGTAAATAAAGGGTAGCAGACTGAAGAGTGCTGCCCATCTTCTGATGGCAGAGAGGTGGTAGAGAACTTAGCTCTGTGCACTCACTACTGGATGGCTTACCCAGATCCACCAACCTCTCTGAGCCTCAGTTTCATACATCATAAAAAGGTGAGCATACATACATCCTCCCATTTAATGTAACTCAATACACAGGACTGTTGGTCATCATTAGCTTCTGGCAGAGGCCACGGCAGGCTCGAGTTGCTCCCTGCTTCCCAAACTCACCATTGATCAGGTAGGGATGGTTACAGCACTTTCTCAGCTCCATCATGGTGTTGATGAGATTGGGCATGTTGTGCTGATTTGCCCCCTTGGTCAGGAAGGAAAAGTTCTTCTCCAGGATAGCACGGTAGTACTTTTTCTGGATATTGGTCAGCTCTACTTCAATGATCGTCTCTTGTTTGGGAGCAAGGTTCTTTTCCACATCATCTTTCAGCCGCCGAAGCATCATGGGTTTTAGGATAGATTGCAGTTTCTTCACCTGTCCGGGGAAATGAGACCTGTTCATCTACCCATATCTGATTTTAATGATTGATTACTGGGGTAGTCCAACCTTCACTACACTCTCCTGAGCACCTAATCACAGTACTGTGGGAGTAGACTGAATGAAAGATCATGACTAATCCCTGAACATGGGGAGTTTATAATTGGACCTCAAGGAAAAAAGGGATCTGGTTTTAATTCCCAAGCAGTCACTGAGAACCTAGGTGGCAACCTTACAAGAGATAAAGGGAGAAAGATATAAAAGACAGTACCTACTCTCTAGGACGGCAAAAACAAATCCCTCTCCCTCTATCATGCACGCATGGTGCAGCAATGACCTGAGGACAACTTCAGCTATGTGAGGAGGGACAAGTGACACATTACAAAGGGGAGACTTAGATGCTGAGAGAACAAAGTAAAAAGCAATTTGGGGGTAGGCGAAATGTGTGAAGGGGGCTCAAAAGGGGTGAAAACTTTCAGTTATAAAATAAGTCCCGGGAATATAATTTAGGACATACTGACTACAGTTAAAAATACTGTATATTTGAGGGGCGCCTGGGTGGCTCAGATGGTTAAGCGTCTGCCTTCGGCTCAGGTCATGATCTCAGGGTCCTGGGATCGAGTCCCGCATCGGGCTCCCTGCTCCTTGGGAGCCTGCTTCTCCCTCTGCCTCTCTCTCTCTCTCTCTCTCTCTCTGTCTCTCATGAATAAATAAATAAAATCTTAAAAAAAAAAATACTGTATATTTGAAAAAAAAAATACTGTATATTTGAAAGCTGCTAAGAGAGGAGATCTTACAAGTTCTCATCACTAGAAAAAAAACTATAGCTCTGTGTGTAACAGATGTTAACTAGACTTAGTACGGTGATCGTTTTATAATATGTACTTACATTGAATCATTACCACACACACCTGAAACTAAAGTTCTATGTCAATCATATCTCAGGTTTAAAAAAAAAAAAGAAGTAGAGGCAAGAAGCAGACCCCTCCTACAGCTTCTAAGTAATGCCAGCAAACATGTTTGAAGTAGCAGCATGTAGAGAGTTAATGTTGTAAGATGATGTCTCCCATGCCTTCATGCAGGCTGTCACATCAGGGGCACTTTGAACTGACAGTAGTCTTTGCTATGATTTGTCTGTTCTTCTCCTAACAGCCCGGACCTGGACAGCAGATCTCTACTCACCTGACTGCACTGGCAAGGTGACTTGCTCCCTCTCCCAAGAAGACAACGACAGAAAAGGGATTCAAAATCAAGGCACCTGACCTAACCCTGAGCTATAATAGGATACCAATAAGATTAATCCTGCTGGGAACATAAAATAAGGAAAGGTAAGTGCAAAAGATCGAGTTTCAAGTCATAAAGGGCTGTTCAAAAATGTTTCAGGGCGCCTGGGTGCCTCAATCAGTGAAATGTCTGCCTTCGGCTCAGGTCATGGTCCAGATGTCCTGGGATTGAGCCCCATGTTGAGCTCCTTGCTCAGCAGGGAGTCTGCTTCTCCCTCTCCCACTGCCCCGCCCCCCTGCTCATGCTTTCTCTCTGATAAAATCTTAAAAAAAAAAAAAAGTTTTAAAAGGGGGTACATTCTGCATAAATAAGCAGTGTCAATGCTTCCTGAAAAAAATATAAAGTGACTTACAGACAGTGATTTAGTAGAGTTATCAGAGCAGATTTTAAACAATGATGAATACGCTTCACTTTGGAAGCTGATGCGTTCTGGAACTTTTATTTCCTGTGATTCAAAATATACACATTTGATGCCATTTTTGTGGTTTTCTCCTAACTAACCCCAATCCTAAATCTAACCCATTCATGGGACCTTGATTTTACCAACCATGATACTTGGGAATCCATCTCCCAAGTGGACTAGGAATGACTATATAAGATCCCAAAGAGAAAAGACACAACTAGATAATTATTAAAGATATGGACAAATGCCAATCTGCCACATGCTGGGTTCAGCTTTGCCCTTCACTTGGTTCATACCTTGAATCATTTAGTATACTATATGCCAGACACTGTGCTGGTCAATACAACAAACACAACTTTGGAGAAGAGGTGGGCCTTGTCCTCAGGGAGGTCATTGTCTAGGAAGAAGAAAAAATGCATACCACAAAATAAGTGCAACGGGAGAAGAGGACACCTTGCTAATGGTCCAAAAATGAAGAGAGGTTTGGGAGCTGGCTTTTGAAAGATCAATAGATACTGCAAACGTAGAGAAGTGGAATGAAGCTTGATTCTTCACTGCCCTGAAAGTCTGACTTGCCACAGAAGTAGAAACAAACAGACTTGAACCACAGAGTATACTCCTGACACGTTAGTGAAATTCCCAAACCTTGTTAGTCCCCCAATTCTCTGCCCCAACCCATTCTCACACCATTGCTAGGTTAATTTAGCAGAACTAATTATGTCATTCCTGCAATCAAAGCCTTGCATTGCTTCCCTAATACCTCCCAAATTCTTCAAGCCATCTTCCAAGACCTTCCCACAATATAACCCTTACCCCTCTGGCCTCATACTCCACAATTCATCAACCCGGTTCCCAGCTCAACCAGATGATTCCCTACACCTGAATAAATTCCATGGCTGATTATGCCAGGTATTTTTTCTCCTGTGCAAAGGAGTCACCATCTTTTCTCTCTCCACGACTAAAAATGTACCCACCTTGCAAAGTCCGTTTCCAAATTGTTCTCTCTCCATGAAGGCTTTCCTGATTCCCAAACAGAGGTGACCTTCTCTCTTCTAAAATCCCCAATTTGTTCCTGTTATGGCATTTAAACTTGCCTGGCTTATTTCTGTAATTTCTAGTCAAGATTTCTACCCACCATACATACTTATTACTGTTGGCTGTTCTGAATTAGCTTTTAGTCCAATAAGCTAGACTCAGGACTGGATCTTTGAAAACTGGGAAATCTGGTTGATTTGGACAAAACTAGACTTACCAACTATTCTAGTATATGACTGTCTTCTTCTCCTCACTACCTGTGTAGTTTGTTGTACTCAAGAAGATGAGCCTGGGAACGTGTTGCAGATTATGTAGGAGGAAGGATGAAGGATGAAGAAAGCAGAGGAAGGTACCACACTCCGGAGTTCAGGACAGAACAAAATCACTGACCTCACATGTGAGATCAACGAAGGCAAGAGGCCTGATATGCTAACACAGGATTATTGTGGATACTGATTCATTTATACCTCCGGAGTAATAGGAACTCCTAATAATTAATTTACCCTCCTCAACATAGACAAACAAGTTAAATAAAGGAGGTAATGCTCATTTTAGCAAGAATATGAGAACTTGCTAATGCCTGTCCCCACAACGACTTGTTCTGTCCCTGATGGTAAAGGTAATCATCACATCGTCTCCTCAGTCCTTCAGGCCCGTTTACCTGTTCCTCTGTTTTCAGATCTCCAAATTCCTCCAAGAAAGCAGTCTCTGAAGGAAACTGTGATGGCTCCAGAAAATTCAGCAAGCTGAAGAGCTCCTCCACAGAGTTCTGCAAGGGTGTCCCAGTGAGCAGCACTTTGTGTTCCTGCACAATAGTACATGATAAGCAGTGTTGAGCCACCAAAACAGTATGCTTTTGAAGCCAGGGCATTCTGTGCTCGCTTTGGGGCAACTCGGTTTTGCTTTTATGAAAAGACAGGATGCTGCTGTTTCAGGGCGGGTACGGTCGATTAATAGATCAACGTTCCTTTCACATCACTGACTCCAGCGGCAATTTCACGTTAGTGCAAGCAACATCCATCCATTCATTCATTATTACTACCCTCTACGTACTGGGCACTGTGCCATGGCTGTCATCCCTGGTACCAGATCATTCAGGGTCTTGGAAACAAGCCGAAACACCTTACATTTCCAGGTCACAAATTGCATGGTATTTAAGACTACCCTGGGTCCCCTTGGGAATCTATCTGTGGCAAAGGTCAAATTGTTGACTCAGTTTGTAACAAAAACCCTTTTGATTCCTGCACTGTCACAGATATAGATGGCAAAAAGAAAACTCAGAATAAACAGACCATGCACAAGTAAGCTACATGCAGAATGGCTACAGAATGCTTCCATAGGGGGTAGATGGAACCGGTGTCTATGTAAAGAGCTTGCTAGCTCTCACCAGGGCCATGAGCTTTAGACCCTCCAGAAGTTTGCAGTTCCTGTTCTTCAATCTGTGGGCTTCGTCAATTATCACACAGCTCCAGTGAATCTTTTTCAGCTCTGGGCAGTCTGCCAGTATCATCTCAAACGTTGTGATGACAACATGGAACTTGAAGACTCCTGAAAGGGGGTTTCCCTGAGGGTGACACAACGGAAGGTGAAGCTTTATGTCATGACTACAGAATACAGCTGATGCGTTCCCAGCAGGAGCAGAGGAGGCAGCACCGTAAGACGGTAGGGCCTAGGTAAGGGAAGCCGGTAAGCATGGTACTTCCTCGTTTGGGAAGAGAGAGAATATAAGGATGAACCAGCTATTTAGACAAGAGAGAGACCTCATTACATCGATAAACAGAAGTAAGAGACACGGGCCCTCACAATGGTGAGACATATGAGCAAATACGGAAGACACAGCAAGGAAGCTTGTTATTTATTAATTGCCATGGTAAGGAAAGCAGATGGGTACGGATTCACACGTTCCCAGCCAGGACCGGTCTCGACCACGCAGAGCCTGAACACCCAAGGAGACCTTCTTTGCTCCTTTTCAGATATGGTTGATTTCACCTTGGACCTGGGGTTCTAGCACAGAGGTTCAAAGCCCTGCTCCCGATTCACGCGGGACAAGAGCTACCGGGCAGGACACATCTTTGTCTTCTACCTATCTTAGTGGTGCCATGAAAGAGCAGAGCTGCATCATGTTGGAGCACATCCTAAAGTTCTCCCAAGTGTCTCCTTTTGCTGTTAATGAAATGCCTGGGGGAGGAGCACTGGCTTTCCTCGGATTGGAGTCATTTAATGTTCACCTTGCTTGATTATAAAAACCAGTGGCCAGGACAAGCTTACAAGCATACTCAGTAAAGTGATTGTAAGTAACAAAGCCCCCCAAGCCCCCACAGTCTATTGTGCTTTTAACAATTTAAATCCTGTCTTCCCTTTATCCTTCCCTATCAAATGTGTCAACCTCCTCTCCAAACTCCCCAAGAACCCATCCTCTGTACACTAATTCTGCCACTCACTTTTTTTACTGAGCCATGTGACAAGTCAGATAAAGTCTTCTGCATGTCAAAGCAACTTCATGGGCGCCTGGGTGGCTCAGTTGGTTGAGCGACTGCCTTCGGCTCAGGTCATGATCCTGGAGTCCCGGGATCGAGTCCCGCATCGGGCTCCCTGCTCAGCGGGGGGTCTGCTTCTCCCTCTGACCCTCTTCCCTCTCGTGCTCTCTGTCTCTCATTCTCTCTCTCTCAAATAAATAAATAAAATCTTAAAAAAAAAAAAAAAGCAACTTCATAAGCCAACCAAGAAGCCAAGCTTTCAGTATCCTACAAAGGATAGAGCCTCTGGCATATTGCAGAGAGTGGAAAACATGCCCTACAAATCCTATGTTTTTGTTTTTGTTTTTAAAGATTTTATTTATTTATTAGAGAGAGAGAGAGAGAGCACAAGAGGGGAGAGCGGGAGAGGGAGAAGCAGACTCCCTGCCGAGCAGGGAGCCCGATGCGGGACTCAATCCAGGGACTCCAGGATCATGACCTGAGCTGAAGGCAGTCGCTTAACCAACTGAGCCACCCAGGTGCCCCAAATCCTATGTTTTATCACAAACTAAACTACCAAGAAGAAGCAAGAAGTCTGCCTCAAGAAACAGAAGACTCTACAAAAGCAGTCAACGGTAACCCAAGGTGCAGGGCCTTCAAACTCCTGAGGGCAAGTGACAGAAAGGCTGTTCTGAGCGATGACATCAGGCCGTCACCAGATCTCTGAGACTGTGCAAGGCCCACCTGTGCGTCTCTGTACACCATCTCATACTGCTGGATCATCTGCCTGCTGATCTGGCTGCCATGGTACACAATGGCATTCATCTCTGTCCACGTCCGGAACTCCCGCTCCCAGTTCGTGATGGTGGAGAGTGGGGCGATGATGAGGAATGGGCCGTGGATTCCCCGGAGGAATATCTCAGAGAGAAATGTGATGGACTGGATGGTTTTCCCGAGGCCCATCTCATCAGCCAAAATACAGTTTTTTCTGCAGAGAGTAAGAAATACAGATAATTCATCATCTATACAGGAAAGTGGGAGAGGTTGGGTATAACTCAAAAGATACTTCGGAAGCACACCTTGACCTGTAAGGTCATCAGTGAAGGGCCTTATTGGCATTTTCCAGAGATGCAACTGAGGCACGTTTTGATTCTTATGATTCACACCCTGCCTACTTCTGAAAAGGAATTACGGCAACTTGAGAGAAAATACAGGAAAGAGGTCCATACGCTATAAACTGAAAATACTAAAAATTAAAATAACAGTGAGACACAAGGAGAAAAAAAAATATGCCTCAAACCTAAGCCAATTTCTGTACCTGACAAACTTTATGGAAGCCAAGGCAAAAATAAAAAGATAAGTTACATGGTTTTCACTGTCCATTATTTGTGTCATCGAGGGTGAACTTTTAACCCACACAATTAATTTCTTATCAGAGTAAAAATGTTAGTCTGTCCTGGTGATCCAGAATCCCAGACTGCACAGAGCAGTCTCGCTCCTCGCTGCACTGGTGGGCACTGGAAAGCTTAGGGGAGCTTTCTGGCCCAAGCGGCTCTGTAAGTGGCACAGACTATGCCAGGACATAGGTCACCAGGGCCCCATCTTGTGCGTTCTCCACTACAGCCTGCTGTCTCTAGAATCCATACTAGGGGTATACTCTAGAATGTTAGAAAAATCTCAAATTTCACCTGTTTCATCTAGATTCTGGTGGCAACTGAAGCACGAAGAGTCCAAAACTGAGTGGTACAGCCCCAGCCTAGAATATCCAGGGCTCACAAATAAGTAGTGGAGTTGGGGCTACAATCCAGATGTTTCCTTTTAGAGCCAATTTTTGCTAAAGACTTAGAACGATCTTTTGGATTTTGTTTCATCTAGGTTGGGCCTAACCTTTTGGCTAGAATGGCAAAGAAAAAAGAAGCATAAAGTCAACAATGTCTAAAATCATTCCTTGTGGGGGCGCCTGGGTGGCTCAGTCATTAAGCGTCTGCCTTCGGCTTGGGTCATGATCCCAGGGTCCTGGGATCGAACCCCACATCGGGCTCCCTGCTCGGCAGGAAGCCTGCTTCTCCCTCTCCTACTCCCCCTGCTTGTGCTCCCTCTCTCGCTGTCTCTCTCTGTGTCAAATAAATAAATTTAAAAAAAAATTAAAAAAAAAAATTTTTTTCTTTTAAATCATTCCTTGTGGTTGGAGAATCACCTGACGTGGAGTCTTGGCATGCCTCATATACAAAGATTACTACCCTAAACCTATGGCTAGGTTCCACTCTCTCACCACCTTGCTAGCTACTGCTGTTCTAAGCAGGCTCGGGCGACAGTTTCACTCCAGTACAAACACATGGGGGGATAACTGTCCGTGAAGACAACCCTGGTTCCGGTTCCTCACCTGTTATACCAGTTAAAAAGAAGCCAGTTCATCCCCTCTAGCTGGTACTCCCGGAGCTGGTTACTGTTCTTATACTCTCGAGACTTCTCCAGTTTCTGCCAGGAGTCTGAAGCAGGCCTCTCCTGGTGGAGGAAGGCAGACAGAACAAAATACAGAGAATGGTGTTTGAGGAGCGTAACACAAATAGGGATACAGGATAAGAATGGGGAAGGTGGCAAATCTCAAAACACTGTCCTAAAGCTGGCTGGCTTCAAGCTGCAGTTACTATGATCTGAGTAAGGTGTACACACACACACACACACACACACACACACACACACACACCCCTCTGATATAAGGCAAGCCCCTATATTTTCTAGCTCTCACCAAACTAAACTAAGAACATCTCTATAAAATTTGCAAGTAATTAATGAAGAAGAGAAACAGACCCACCTACAATCTTGGTACTGTTTTACCCAGACTCCTGGATGCCACTCTCACTTACACTTCCATCTCCCTGCAAACCAATAGTAGTCAGGTGTTTTGGCTTCTACAGATAATTTTTGTTATTTCTTTGTGCATGTAGCATCAGCTCAGGAAAGTACAGTGGGTCAAATATTTTGCTGATTAGTTCCTAGAGTCAGTATAAGGCAAAAAGCCTGTAAAATCAAAACTGCAAATTTCTTCAATATCCCATAAACATATTTTCCCATATAAAATACTGATTTCCAAATATAATTGATCTTTTCTCTACTGATAGAAAACGCCATATTTATCACATACTAAATTTCAATATATCCATGGAGCTCTATTTAGATTCTTCATTCTGTTCCACTGGACTGTCTAGCACTGCAATAAAATCCGATTTTTAAATTATGATATCCTTTTATCAGATTAGGGAATTATTTTTCAAAAATGTCTCATCTACTCTACCTTATTCACTATTCTGTATAACTTCAGAGTCAATTTGTCAAGTTCTCTTAAAATCCCATTGAGATTTCAATTAATCAGGGGAAGATTTAAATCTTTAGGTGTGGAAACTTCCCATCCAAAAATTCTATTTATTTAGGCTTTATATTATTTGGACACAGACTTGGTTATTTTGCTTATAGCAAATTGAGCCCCTAAATTAACAGTTTACAGTCTTAAAACATTCCTAGCGATAGCTACAGTTACAAATGAGAATTTTGAGACTGTAACGTTTCTGAACAGTTTTAGTCTTTGGTAATTCTACTTTGGAGTACTACAACATAGTTTATACTTGAAATACGTTATTAACTAAAACTAAACCACTTGCATGTGAAATTAACAACATATCCCCAATTACATCATTGATATTTGGAGGTAAGTAAGTGAAATCTGTCCATGATCTTTCAGAAAAATACACATCACAGCTTACCTACAAAATTACTACAGCTGCAATTAGGCTAAACCCTTTAAAATAGGACTCTGTTGAAAATTATTACTAGTGTATTATTTTGTTGTTGTTGTTTTGACTGTTTATTTTATTTTTATTTTTTTATTCTTATGTTAATCCCCATACATTACATCATTAGTTTTAGATGTAGTGTTCCATGATTCATTGTTTGTGTACTAGTGTATTATTACTAATGTACAGATACAGGTGCTTTTAAAATAAGGGAGAAAATAATTTAGTATGTAAGAAAACAATGACTTTAAAGAAAAAGGCTTTAAGCAAAGATATTCCTATATAAACCCTCTTGCTCTGTTCCCTTAAAGAAATCACATTCTTCTTAACCTACAGGAACCAGTCAGCGTGGATCCCCCAAAGTCCACATACTCCTTTAATCGGGGATGCTCCCCTACTTTACTAGATCCTGTGGGGAGACTTTCTGGAATGTTCCTCTAATGACTTATATGGCTTACTCTCAGCACTGTTAAGTACCGGAGGATGGAATTTCACTGCAGATTTCTACTTTGCTGCCTTGGTAGCACTCCAAAAGCAGAGGCATCATGCTCCAATCCAGTCAATCCAGCCTTCCCTCCTTCCCCAGTGCTAAAGGGTTTAGTTGAACATCACCTACTGGCCAGAATTTCAGCCATCTGAGCACAAGACCTGAAATCAACTGGAAGTTTCTGGTTGACTCCTAAGTGGTATAGACTGCAGGAAACAACATACCCCAGGGCTCCACAGCCTTCAATGGCTACTTAGTTAACTTGAAGGAGGAGAAGTGATTCTCGGAGTCTCCATGGTGGCTCCGGCCTATTAAAAGACTGCTCCTGCTTTGCACAATCATCACGGACAATGTCACTTCTTGCTTTCTCTGTACTTGACCTATATGTAACTAATTTTTACCAAAAAGCTTTCAGGTATAGAATGTCCTATTCATCAACTTCAAAGCCCAGAGTAAGATCCCTTTAAAAAATTATTCAGGTAAACTTTCATTTGGAGCTGGTCCTTTTCTTAACACATAAAAAGACAGCTTTAGTTATGTTGTGAGCTACCATTCCAATTCAGAATTTTTGAGATAAAATTTCAAAATGTGCATTTTAAATGCGAGAACAAATAAATCAGAAACAAAGAGACAAGTGTGAAATAATACCATGGTTCACTGAGCAATGAAAACAGCAGCATCCCAATAGCAAAGAAGTAAAGGAAAAGGGAAATTGCCTGAAAACACTTGAGAATTCATATTCTTGCCAAATGCATGTAGTCAGTCTGAGGAATTAAGTGGGATTCAGGCTGAGTAAGAATCCTGATTACTCGGAGATACTAACTTACAATTAGCTTCAGAATGGAAATGCTCTCTACTCTGCCCCACACCAGTTTGTCCCTGCCTTGTGCCACACGTCCATGTGTGTCCACGCATACACATGCCTACCCTGTTAACCTGTGAGCTCCTAGGGGCTGGGTGTGCACCTTCTTTCTTATTGTATGTCACTCAAGAGTCAGCCAACAGCAGATGTTTAACAATGACTGATGAATTAACAACAGACAACAGTTGTAGGAGAGGGTTGAAAGAGAAATTTATTAACCAGTCATGCAGACAAAACACTATTAAAAACTATGTAGATTTCTAATCACAGTTCTGCACCTCAAGCTTCCTCCATATACTTCATATGCCAAAAAAAAAAAAAAAAAAAAAACCACCACCAACAAACCCACTGCTTTTGAGTAGACTCTGACAGAGATCTAAGTTCAATGTCAAGCTCTTGTCTCCTAAGTCCTGACCTTCCCGGGATATAAAAACAACAACAAATAAATAATAAGGAATTGGGTAAGAGTTTTTCATATAAATGTGGTGACTTTTTAAAAACAGAAACTTATTCCAGTCTATAGCCATATTCAACAACTCTGATTCTCTTCCCAAGTGAGTCACATCTTAATCAGGCTCTTCTAATTCTACATCCTTTTAATTATTGTCCCTCTATGTACAACTACTTGTCAAGTACCCTGGGACATTTATGCAGCTCGGGGGGAATAATCCAGAATCAGAAAAACAAACTGATTAAATAAATATATTTTGAAAACTTATGTTCTCTCTGTGAAGTCCAGGGATCTATAGGTAGAAGATAGTTCTTCCCCTTAAGAATATTCCAGTTGAGTAAAGGCAGAGGATAAAAACAAAGAAAAAAGATCACTGATGGAGCAAGAGGTAGAAAGAAACAAGAAAGATACTAACCATTTACTGAGCTTCTTTCCCATGCCAGGCACTTCGTACACGTTCTATCTTACTGACTCCTGTATACAGCACCACATATGAAGAAATATAAGCTCCTATTCAAGGTTCTTAAATGTCACACACATCAAAATAGAGCCTAGACCTAATGTTGACCAGAATGCTAGCGAAGTCAGATTTGGGGAGAAAAACATACCGAACTGCAAGTTCAGTGGAGAGCGGCCAAAGGTAAGTCACCAACAAAGACCCTTCTGAGCACGGCCCCACAGACATCCAGGATTGCCACGGTCATAAAGTTAACATGATACAACAGGTGCCCAACAGGGATACATTACCACATGCTTAATTTCAGGGAGAATCTGAAGAGACTCAAATTCTTTAACTTTTGCAGGATCTACGTCTTCCTCTAGCTCCCACGTGCTTTCTTCATAAGGCAGCGAGCACCACTTCACCAGGTAATGCGTCACTTCCTGGTGGGAAACAGGAGAGGAGTTTATGTTCTACTAGATTAAAGGAGTCAATCATACCCCGGCCAATCTCTGAAAAACCCACCCTATCACACATAAGTGCCATTAAAACAAAGACCACATGTTAACAAAACAAACAAAATATGTAGTAAGAAGGGAAGGCTCTTTAGGGGAGTCAAAATGACAAAACACCTACCTCTCCTGTTTCTGCATCTTTGGTGTGGGCCACCTCCAGGACTCGATCAACTTCTACATAGTCCGGGTTGAACAAGTCTTCATCAGGCTAGTGCAATCAAAGAAGAGTTAGAAAGTTTCCCCCTCCCCTCAAAACCAACATATAGGGGTTCATCTGTAAGTGATCCCCTACTCTGGGCTTATCAGGAAACACAGAATGGAAGGGGTAGCTTGAGAATAAAAGTCACAGCACAGACATTTCTTCACTGTCCCCAAATCCTGCTCTCCATGACTGAATTTATAGGTTACACCACGACCAGAGTAAGACTCTCCTAATGGTCATTATAGTACTGCACAAAACTCAGCACAAGGATTCCCTTTTTCTTGCTTTTTGTTCCAAAGATAACCCTTGGAAAATCAGAATTAGTTTCTTTTTCTTCTATATACCAACAATAGTAGCAAACATTGGAAGGAGGCATGAGGGGAGCTTCTGGGGGACTGATAATGTTCTATGTCCTGATCTAAGTGGTGGCTACACAGGTGTGTTTATTTTGTAAAAATTCACTGAGCTGCACCCTTAAGATTTGTTTACCTTCATGTACATTATGCTTCCCAAAAGTGTACTTACGAAATAATAAGCATCACTTGGAAATATTTAACCTGTGTCTGGAGTAATGCTAAGTGCTTAAATCTCAAAATTACTTTATGGACTAGATACAGTAATTACTTTACAGATGAGGAAACTGACTCAGAGAGGTTAAATAAGTAATGTGACCAAAGCCACAGAGAGTTGTGTGAACTGGAACGTTACCCAGGCCTTTCTTACCCAGAAGCCCTCCTCCCAGACGGCTAGAATGTACTTATTGCCCCTTTGGTTGGAAGGCACTTTAGGGACTATCCAGTTTCATCTTCAACACAGGAATGCTTTTTGTAACACCCCTGGCAACTCTCCCTCAGATTCCATTATTCCCTGTTTGGGAATTTACTGCCCTCTAAGACCTGATCCACTGTCAAGACAGCTTTACCTCTGTCTGCTCAGTGGTAGCATCATGATCTTTACCTTTATTATATTAAATTATAGCTTAGTTTCCTTCCTGTAACTGGGGCTCACTGGTATGACTGCTTCCTTCAGAGTAGCAGTAACTAAGTTCATTCTCCTTCTATGCTGGCTCTTCAACAAATTTCAACCGATCTGGGTGAAACTATTCAAGGTGTTCGACTGTTCTTGGGGCCCCAAGTTTCCAGATCCTTTCGTGATGCAGAGAACTAGCACTTATGAATAGTGGCCATGGGCCACCGTGATAAACACTTCTGTAAACCCTGTGTCATTTACTCCTCACAGGTGTTCTGTGAGGCTGATACTATTAGGAGTTCCGCTTTAGACAGAGGAGGATACTGTGTGTGTGTGTGTGTGTGTGTGGCGGGGCGGGGCAGGGGGGAGGGGTGGGGGGGTGGGGGCAGGGGGGCAGGAGCAGAACCTGCAGCCTGGCAGCCTGCAACCTGCAAGCCTAGGCTCCTAGCACCATGCAGGCCAGTTTCCATGTTTGCTGACAAGCACTCGGCTGTGCTTCCTTTACCTAAGTTAGAGTCCTCCTGCAGCTGCACTCAGGTCCAAGTCCCCCCGAACCTGATACTCAAATGAACAGAACAAAGATTACTGTTACTTCTTAAACAGCTGCACACCGTCCTCCTGACCAATAGGAAACTTGTCATTTAACGGGCACTATCTTTTCTCCCTAGAACTGCTAGTCAGTCATTTTTCCCCACTCTGAAGTTATAAAGATTTAAAAACTACAAATGTGTGACATTACATACATTTAATTGCCATTCTATTTCATTCATCCTAGCCTGTCCAGTAAACCTGAACTTTGACTTTGTCATCTATTCTCCCAGCATCAGGTGTGGTTTCCAGGAGTCCAAGTGTAGTGAGAAGGCCTCTACCCCTGCAGAGGGAGGGAAGCCTCTGCCTCGCGAGCCTGTGTCTTTTCCACAGGTGCCCCTGGCTACCTCATCAAGCAGCCGGAAATAATGGATACGAAGAAGCTCTATCCAAAACTAAGTTATTATCGATCTCATAAGAACATTATTTATCTACGTCATTAATAAAAATGTTGAACAGGTCAAGACTGAAGACAGTATTATAGGAACTACTCCCCACTCTTCCTCCTCCTCAATCTCAGGATGTCCTCCAATCTTTTCAAAAGCCTTTCCTTCCCACAAGTTACACGCTCCTGGTACATTTTTTCTACACACTGCAACATAGCTTCAGCTCTCTATTCCCAGCCCAGTAAAAATCACTCCCTTGGGAATAAAGCAGAAAACAGACACATGGGGCTTTGTACGCTATATGAAGGGCTGTGGACTTTATTTCAAGAAAATGTGAGTCGCTGAAGGGTCTGGAGCAGGCGAACAGCATAAGGCAAACCCCATCCCTCACCAGGGGGCAGCTAAATAATTACTGAGCACTGACCCTGTTCCTGGTATCAGGGACAGAAATACAAGAAGACATGTCCCTGTCTGTCTCATAGGGCTTAAAATGGAAGAAAGAGACATGTAAACAAGTTCCTACACTGCAAATACTTGCTAAAATAGAGGTGCAAATAAAATGTTCCAGGAACAGAGAGAGAGTATCCAGTGTGGCCCCAAGACGGTCTTCCAATTCTATGTCTTCTCTTTCCCAGTTCTCTATGACAATAACAATGCCATGAGAAATGGTTTTCACATTCTTTAAAACAATCCTGGAGGGCTGGGGCTGAACGCTAAGACTAAAGATGAAGGACCCCAACCTGGGATGAGAAGAATGCTTACTGACATTATCCTAAAGTAATTTTCTGTCACTTGAGGAAAAGGCACACAACATGAAGAATGAGTTGGTTAAGTACTGCAGCAATGTACTATAGTTTGATGGCACCTGAGTGCGCTCTTGAGGACTAGTGCTTGCAACTACGTTTTAAGAATAATTTTTATGACTTCTTTTCTTTAAAGTTATCTGTATAAAATTTTAAAACTACAGGCTATACAGAAAAGAAAAAGTAGAAGTCACCATGATCCCATCAACCGGAAAAAATGACATCAGCGTTTTCATGTATATTCAAGACATTTTCTGCACATTATTATGGTGCCTCTTTTCTCCTGCACTCCCCAAAATGGAACTGCCCCCGACACTGTAAGAGGCCGACATATAGCACTGTAGCTTCTTTCTACGTCATTAACAACTGTTCTCCAACATCACTTTTACTAGAGCACAGTGTTCTGTTCTATGGGATGTACACATAATTTAACAAATGTCTATCATCTAACAGTGTGTTTGTTTATAATTTTTCACCAATATTAATGACTGAATATCATAGCTAATTCTGTACAAAGACTCAACAGTTTCCTTAAAATACATGGCAGAATTAGAACTGCCGGACAAAGGATGTGAACATTTTGAGACATTTCACGTCTGCTGCCATCTGTTCTTCTGACAGGTCGTACTAGGTTATGTTCCCACCTGCTAGATACAAGACTGTCTCTGCCCTATACTCTCACCAGCAATGAGTAATAATTATTTTTAAAACCTTCAAATATTTGGTAAATAAAAACCAGAAAATTCCTATTTTAGTTTGCATTTTTAAACTACTAGTGAAAGTGACTGCATTTTTATATGATTAATAAGCATTCCTTATCATTAAAATTATTTGTCATGTGCGTGTATGTATATATGAATATAAACAGGAAGGTTCCTATACTGGATAAGAAGAATGTATGCCACATATATATGTATGTGTGTAAGTTACATATTTTTTACGAAATACGTATACATATGTAATGCACATATTTCCTAATTATTTACTTTTAAGATTTGTTTAGTAGTATTTTCTAATATATAGACACTATAGATTTGTTTAATGTCCAAATCCATCAATTCTTCCTCTCGCCATAGGTACCATACTTAGAAATACCCAAGCTTATATAAATTTCCTTATTTACTCCCTAATATTTTACTCTCTAATATATTTAATAATAGTTTTTATTTTTTACATTCGAAGTTTATGTCTTTTTGGATTTGTTTTTTTTTGGGGGGGAGGAGGGAATGAAAGAGTTTTGTGCACGTTTCTTTTGCCCTAGCTATTTATAGATATTCTGACCAGGATGCACATTCTTATGAGTTGTCAGTTTGTAAGGCTCAATCCTTCTAACTTGGTGGATTATTTTTTCTCTTTGGCTTAAATCTGGACTGGTTTTGCTGCAAATCAGTGCACATTTAGCAATGTGACTTGAGCAATGGATCTGCACAGGACTTTGATTTTAAGAAACTTAAACTCAGCATTTAATACTGTAAGAAAAGCAGCGGTCAAGTTAGTTGGTAAATATTGCTTCACCTCAGTAAAAATGTGCTTCATCTGGGCTTGTTTATTCCTAAATCGCTTGATCTTCTGTGCGATGCGAGGATCCTTTTCCAGCTCTTCCATTGTGGCCCATTTACAATGTAAGTAGGAACTATCCAAAGACACACAAACTGTGAGACAAGTGCAAACTACCAAATCATTGAGCTTTAAGTGTTTCAGTGAACAGGGTGACCATCTAACCCAGAGGTAGCGGTCTGTAGTGAAACTGCTAGAGACTGGGCTGAGGAGGGCCTTGTGCTAAGGGCACAAACAGACAACGAAACGGTGCTGCGATTCCAAATGACCGGTCCCCCTGCAGCTTCTACAGGACCTGCCTGAGAGCAGGGGGGAGGGCAGGCGTAGGCGGGTTATCATTCATACACATCAGGGCAAGTGGGCACATAGCACAGGAAGAAAGAAAACTTCAAGAGCTATAGGACTGTGCTTCTCCACCCTGAGTGCAAATGAGAATGGCACAGGGAGTTTTTAATAAAGCACCAATCCTTGGGATCGACTCCCAGGGTCTGAGTCAGCTGGTCCTGAGTGGAGCAAGGGCTTCCCTGGTGACTGTCTGTGCAGCCAAAAGTGAGCACCACTGTCTAAGGTGAACTTGAGTCAACTGAGATCTGTGGGTCAGGCTTCAGGGGCCATTCTTGGAAAATACAGAAGATGATGTGATGAGGGAAAGTGAATTTTATTCATATAAATCCAAACACAAATAATACAAGAAAAAGACGTACAAATTTCTATACTTAACGTAGAATAGCTCCAAGTCGAATGGGGGTTCTCCTGGGTGAACCTGTAACCAATAGCAAGCAGTTAACAGGCCAGACCCCTCAGATCACCCTATGCAGCACAAGAAAACAGGTAAATCAACACCCCTGCTGGTTTTAGTACAGATTTCTTGAGGAGGTTTAGTACAGATTTCTTGAGGATGTTCCCAGTTCTTTTCCTGACAGCTACTGAGCAGCCTTCCCAAAGGATGAATCCACAGCTAGCTAGAAGGTAAAAAAGAAAATGATCCTCCTGGTGTCCTTCCAGGGTCCAGGCTAGGACAGCACTCAGCTGAGAAACGCAAACTGGCCCAGGGCTCTGAGAGCTGTCAGGGCCAGAGCCTGCCGTGGAAGTGAAAACCTGGGTCTCTGGCATGCCCCCAAACCACCACCCTGAAATGTCAGTGCTGTTCACTCTCGAAGTAAGGAAGTTTGCTCTCATAAATACTTGAAGGTAAAACTGTGTTCTCACCAGCACACATACCCTCACCCCAGGCATGCTCTCTAGAGAATCCCTACAATGGCCCTGACATGTCTAAAGAAACCCCCCCAGAGGTTTTCAATAGGACTCTTTCCATGTCTTCTTTTTGGCCCTCTGAGGACTTTCCATGGGCTACAGCAACTAAAGGACAAATACCTTTTGCTGGGATCACTATGGAGGAAAAAAATTATTTGGGGTTCTACTCTCAAGTATTTAAGAATTTTATGATCTAAAATCTTCCATGGGGGTAAAAGTAAGTACTGACTAGCCTGACAATGTTGTTGCCTAGCTCTCACTCTGGCCAGTCACGACCATTCCAGGTTCTCTAAGTCAAGTACCTCTTCACAGAGGGTATAACCTGTGCTAGTGATAGAAAAGCTGGTACATGAGCTACCAACCTCCTGGACGGTCTTAGACGCCAGGATCTTCTCAATGATGTTTGCATCATCTTCTGGAGGCTCCTGGAGACAGAAAAGTTAAAAAGACAGAAAATTACTGGCACCACAGAATCCAAGAGAATTCTGTAAGAGTCACCCGTGAGCGCTGAGGCCTCCCTCCTATCAGTCCACAGAGTGATCAAAAGATTGCACACATTCTGGGCACAACCCTAACACCTTCCCCTTCCACTCTGCTTTTCAGACTCTTAATTTCAGATCTGTCTTTAGTATCACTAAAATTGGTCCTAGGACTTCCCTTTTCTGCCAAACCTGCCTACATGCTGTAGCATAAAATTTGCAGAAAGGTGTAACATACAGGAGTCTGGGGGCCTTGGAATCAGAGAGTCCTAATTCTAACACCTACCTGCTACTGACTTTGGATAAGTCAATTAACACCTCTTAGTTCCCGTATCTATTAAAATAGGAGTTAAAAATACTTACCTCACTGGGTTACTGGGAGGATAAAATGGTATGTGAAAATATTTTTGGAACAGTAAGCACTATGCAAATGCAAGGTATAATTATTCTCTACTAAATGATACCATCTTTCTCCTCTGTGGCTGGAAATGGTTGTTTCACTGATCATCCTTTGACTATAGATCCTAACTGAAAACAAATTCATTTCTTCCTTTCTATCCCAGATACACATCAACATTTCTAGGCTCCTGAGCTCCATGAAATCTCTTTCTACAGAGTATTTGATTAAACAATGACAAACTTAAAAAGGGTATGTTGAGTCAGAACATTCTTGTGTTTGACATTCTTTCTAGGACTTTATTTGAGCCATTCTATTTCAGAAGTATCCTATGCACTACATGACCTTGTCAGATCTAGTAGAACAGTATACGAGAAGAACACTCATCACGATAGCCCTAACTCCCAAAATAACTTGGGTTCCTGATCAGAACTTTCCAAAAGGATGACTTATGTTACATCTCACTGTCTTTGTCCTACCCAATCTAGGGCTCAGCTGTCCCAGAGCCGTATCATTACAGAAAACATATATTCTAAGATCCTAAATCAACTTTCCCCTAGAAAAGTAATAGAGGAAAGGAAAAAAAAAAAAAAGGTTAGGAGGACAGGTGGCAGAAAAGAAGTATAGAGATCAGCAGGCATTGACAGGTGCTCCCAAAGGTTACAAATATTTATTCATTCCCCTAGACACATGGCATTGTGCTAGGTGCCATGCCAAAGTTAATCCAAAGTGACAAGAGTCTCTTCCCACTGCTCAACAAGTAGACAAATGAACTGTGCCTACCATATAGTAGGAAGAAGGGATGGGAAGACAGACTAAGCTTTTGTTTTTCTGCTCAAGTTTTGTTCTGCCTGGTTTTGTTTTTTTTTTTTTTTTTAAGAGAGAGAGTGCATACTGGGTATTTATCCCAAAGATACAAAAGTAGGGATCCGAAAGGGTACGTGCACCCCAATGTTTATAGCAGCAATGTCCACAATAGCCAAACTGTGGAAAGAGCCAAGATGTCCATCGACAGATGAATGGATAAAGGAGATGTGGTATATATATACAATGGAATATTATGCAGCCATCAAAAGGAATGAGATCTTGCCATTTGCAACGACGTGGATGGAACTGGAGGGTATTATGTTGAGTGAAATAAGTCAAACAGAGAAAGACATGTATCATATGACCTCACTGATATGAGGAATTCTTAATCTCAGGAAGCAAACTGAGGGTTGCTGGAGTGGGGGGTGGGGTGGGAGGGATGGGGTGACTGGGTGATAGACACTGGGGAGGGTATGTGCTCTGGTAAGCGCTGTGAACTGTGCAAGACTGTTGAATCTCAGATCTCTACCTCTGAAACAAATAATGCAATATATGTTAAGAAAAAAAAAAAAAAGAAGAAGAAGAAGGTAGCAGGAGGGGAAGAATGAAGTGGGGGAAATCGGAGGGGTAGACGAACCATGAGAGACCATGGACTCTGAAAAACAAACTGAGGGTTCTAGAGGGGAGGGGGGTGGGAGGATGGGTTAGCCTGGTGGTGGGTATTGAGGAGGGCACATTCTGCATGGAGCACTGGGTGTTATGCACAAACAATGAATCATGGAACACTACATCTAAAACTAATGATGTAATGTATGGGGATTAACATAAGAATAAAAAAAAAAGAGAGAGAGAGAGTGCATACACCTGTGCATGAGTAGGGGTGGGGGGATAGGAAGGAGGTGGGAGTGGGCGTGGGGGGAGGGGCAGAGAGAGAGAATCCGAAGCAGGCTTCAGCTCAGCACAGAGCCCAACATGGGGCTCAATATCATGACCATGAGATCATGACCTGAGCCAAAATCAAGAGTTGGATGCTTAACCAACTGAGCCACCCAGGCGCCCCATTCTGCTTGATTCTTAAGCACAAGTAAGGAAAGGGGAAGAAGGCAGTTGACTGTTGCCTGTCTTCCCCCATTACAGTATAAACCTTCTGAGGGCAGGGATTCCTATTTGTTTTATCCACTGCTATAGCTAATACCTTGAAGAGGCCCAGCAGCAGTGGGTGACAAGAAATGCTTGTCACTCTGAATGCTAAATACAAGCAACAGGGAAAGAGAGGAGACACATGAGGGAATAAAGCATCAAACTCACTAGCGTCACAGACTGGAAATGGTTATTATTCTTAATCTACATCACTTAATCAAAAATTCTCCCCCTTCTCCAGACACGTGGATCTATCTAATACTGTCAGGATGGCTAACAGCAAAAGGCCAGAACTGGGTGTACTTTCTTAAGCCGGAAGATCACTACCCCAACCTTGCAGCCAACAGAGCTCTGACTGTGGCAAGTGGGCCGTGAGCAAAGAACAAGTGTTAGGTTAAGAGAAAGTAGATTAATGAACCAACTTCCTTCCTAACTTCCTATTTCATTTCCTTCCTAAATTTCTTTCATATTATTTATTGAGTGTCTTTTATGTTTCTTCACTGGTCTTACAGAAATAGATGAGCTGTAGTCTTCATCAGCAAGGAACTACCAGATATGCTAACATAACACTTTAAAAGTTATTAAGCTAAGGCATACTTACAGTATATAGAGATCTCAAGTGTACAATCGAGATTGTACAATTTTTACATATACACATATACACTTGTATAAATACCACCCAGATCAAGTTACATAACATTTCTGACATTCTGGAAGACTCGTGCCCCCATCGGAAGTAACCACTATTCAGACTTCTACTGCCATTGATTGGTTTTGCCTATTACTAAACTTCATGTAAATGAAATAATATAGTATGTGGTTCATTCTTCTGTATTTATGCATAGTATTTTGTTGCATAAATATACTACCATTTATTTATCCATTCTACTGTTGAGGAATATTTGGTTTGTTTCCAACGTTCATATAAATTGTATGTCTTTTGGGGGACAAATGTACTCATTTATCTTGGTTATATACATAAAAGTGGAATTACTAGGTTATGAGGTAGGTTGTACATTTAGTTTTAATGAATATTGTCAAAATTTTTTCCAAAGTGATTGTAACAATTTTTACACCCATCAGCAATGTATGGGAGGAGTTCCAGCTGACTTGATATTGTCTTTAAAATTTTAGCCATTCTCATGAACATGTAGTATTATCTCTCTAATTCACATCTCCCTGATAACTAAGGATGCTGAGCATCTTTTCATATGCTTATTGGCAATGAAGGCAACCTCTCTGTGAAGGTCCTGCTCAAGTCATTTGCCTATTTTAAGAAGTGTCCTTTTTTTTTAATTTGCAAGAGTTCTTTACACACTTCTGAATAAAACTCCTGCCAGTTATATAGATTACAAGTATTATTTATCAATCTATGATCTGCCTTTTGATTCTGTAAATTTGTCTTTTGATGAACAGAAGTTCTACATAATCTACCTTACCAATCTTTTCTCTTACGTATTCTTGTGTCCTGTTTAAAGAATCTTTTGCTGCTACCAAGGTCATTCATTAAGCCACATAAAGTAATTTAAAATTTTCTTGTAGCCACATTAAGAAAGTAAAAACAAACAGATGAAATTAATTTTAATAAATATATTTTACTTAAGCCAATATACCTAAAAACTTATCATTTCACTATGAAATCAATGTAAAATTATTAACGAAATACTTTATATCCTTTTTACATACTAAGTCTTTAAAATCCAATGTGTACTTCACACTTAAAACACATCTGAATTCAGACTAGCCGTATTTCAAGTGCTTCATAGCCACATGTGGCTAGTAGGAGCCCTACTGAGCAGTGTTCCTGTTTTGTTCCACTGGTCTACTTGTTCTTCTGGCAACACTACCATGTCTTCATTACTGTAGCTTGATTATAAGTCTGCATTATAACTTAGTTTTTTTTAAAGACTGCCTTGGCTATTCTAGGTCTTTTGTGTTTCTAATTATTAACTTGTATCAAAAAACACCCTGCTTAGACTTTGATTGGGACTGAATTACCAACTTCTTAACAATACTGAATACCTGAACGTTATGTATCGCTCCATTTATTTAGGTCTCCTTTCATTTCTTTCAGCAATGTTTTTCATATAGAGAGGGCCTGTGTATCTTTTGAGAGTTATTCTAGGATATCTAATATGTTTGATGATGTTACAAATGACATTTTACAGTTTTCCTTTCCTGATTTCATGTTGCTAGTTTATAGAAATAAAAGATGGTTTTGTATATTGCCTTTGTATCCAAAAATTTAGATAAATCCACATTTCTTAAGGCTAATGGTTTGCCAATTCTGTTGAATTTTCTATATACAGTCATGTCGTCTACAAATAATGAATCTTACTTCTTCCTTTCCAATCTTTAAACTTTTTATTTCTTCATTTTCCTTACTGCAGTAGCCAGGACCTGCAGTGCATTTCTGAATATAATGATAATAGTGCAATTTTTTTCTTATTCCCAAATTCAGGAGGAAAGTATTCAATATCATACCATTTAATAAATGTTAGTGCTCAGTTTTTATTTAGTGGTTTTTCAGTTTTTGGTTTTCTACAGTTTCAGATATGCCTGAGTATGGTTTTCACTTTTGTATTTTTCCTGCATGGAAGTT